TCTAAGCATCTCATTCTCTCGATGAAGTGCTTCTCTAATCATCTCGTTCTCTCGATTAACTATTTCTTTTTGTCTCTCAGCCGCCACATCACGAGCCTCAGTAGCTGCTATTATTGATGCCATAGCAGTAGGTTTTTCCTCATCTCTAGCCTTTTCCCATGCCATGTTCAATTCACCTTGACGAGTAAGTTCCTCCATATATTTAGTGTAGTCATTTTTGGAAGAACTACCTTTTTTCTTTGATGCCTTTTTACCTTGGGGCCTGAGGGACTGACGAGTCGGTTGGGTCTCTGGCACTTCTTCAGGCGTCCCTCTTCCATGTCTTCAAATGTGTTGGCTTCTTGTTCGGCTGTGTCTGCTTCTGGCAAACTGTGTAGACCCATACCGTGCATGACAACTTCTAGACCGGTTGCCACAATTTTGTATCTAGGGCAATCTTTGACAATTTGCCAACATTCCCATTTGTTGAATGATTTGTTACAGTTCTTTGCATTGTAGAATGCGTGTGCTTGTAGTGTCTATAAAAATGTGGGATAAGATAGTATTAAAAAATACGGGTGTAACACAAATAAATAAATTAAAATATTGATGGGCGTGGAATGCACATAAATTACATAAGAAATTACATAGAAATTACATAAGAAATTAAATAAATTAAAATATTGATGTGGGTGTAACACAAATAAATAAATTAAAATATTGATGGGCGTGGAATGCATATTACATAGAAATTACATAAGAAATTAAATAAATTAAAATATTGATGTGGGTGGAATGCATATAAATAAATAAAAATATTGTTACCTCATCCGCTAAACTTGTCCCACTACGCAGATTACCAGAAGCATGAGAGATGGCGTTTTTCCAACAAGTAAAGGATGCGTTGAGTTTTTTCCAACGACCTTGAAGACCTTGACTAGATCTGGCATCTTTTCCATGTACATCGCAAAACGATTTCGTAATTTTACTCCACATTTCCCGCTTATCTATCTCATTACCCGTAATCGGGTCATGAGTAGTGCGAACCCAACATTCACACAACGTAACATCTTCAATGAGCTTCCACGAAGTCATTTTTTTCTCTCAAAGTGTACAAAATATTCAAATGTAGAAAGTGTAGAAAGTGTAGAAAATATTGAAATGTGGTGTAAGGTGGAAGATGAGAGTTAGGTATTTATAGAAAAAAAATTTAATTTTTTAAAATTTTTCTGTATTTTTTAAAAAAAAATTCACAATTTTTAATTAATTTTTAATAAATTTTAATGTTGTAATTAATCTGGACCGTTGGATTTGAAAAAGAATCAAATCCAACAGCCAACTAGCTGCCACGTGGCCAACGGTCAAATTTCTGACCGTTGGGCCTTTTTTTTTTTAATTTTATTTTTGGTGAAAAAAAGGTGGACCTTTGATCTGTGATCGGATGGTCCATTTTAAAAGTCAAATTTAAATTTTTTTTACCGTTGGAAATCCAACGGCCTACAAAAACTAGCCGTTGGAAATCCAACGACTCTGAGGAGGGCCACGTAGCCCTCAGCTGTTCGAAGGCAAGTTGGCCTGAATGCGGGCCCCACCACCTGCAACACTGTCGCCTACTCGCGCCCAGTCGCGAGTGTTGTGCACACGCCAGCCTTTTGGACCGGCTTCTGGGTCTGTCCGAAATAGGCTGGCCTGCTGCCTGGCTTGGGCTGGGTGCCAGGCTGTTTTGCGGGCTGGAGGTTTTGGACAGGGTGTTTGGCTGTTTTTTGGACTTGGTGCTGGGCAAGTCCACCTCCGGTGGAACTGCTCTAAGGATTATCATGGGTTTGAGGGTTGGGGTTAGGGATTAGAGGGAGAGGTAGGAGAGCTCCGTGTGGAGGAAGAGAGGGTTTGGGGACGTTAACGCATTGGAGAACAAGAGGGGCTGCATTTTGGTAAGCGAATGAGGGATTGAGTGAGAAATTGGAGGAATAGGGAGAATTGCAATTAGGGTTTGCAGATATTGGAACGGAGGAAAAATATGGTGGGAAAGGAGAAAGGATTTTTTCAAGGGAATTGTTATTGAAACTCCAAAAATTTCATTCTATACTTCAAACTTTCTATATTTAAAAAGAAAAATACACTTGTGAGAAGTGTAAATGAGATTTTGGAGTGCCAATAACACTTTTTTTTTTAATAATTAAAAAATTAATAGTTTATTTTTAATTAATTAAATTTTTATTCTAGTTGGCGAATGAGTGGGCCCCATCATGCCATGTCATCATTTAATAGCCAAATTGACAGAAAATTTAACAGAGGTGTGACATTGCAACGAATTCATAAGTTGAGGTATGATATTACAATGTTTAAAACATGAGGTATGAGATTGTGGTTCGACGCATAATTGAGGTAGTTTTTAATCTCTAAGTGGTATAAGCTTCTTTTCTTATGCCGAAGGGTACAACGAGAGTATTTTATCTCTAAGGCTACTATGTCTCACCAGGAAATTAATATGTGAAGAGCTTTCTATTCATCACTCTATATTGGATTTTGAATTTCACACTTGGTAAGTGGGAAGCTAGTTATTAATTAGATAATTGCTAAAGTCCCACATCGGACATAAATCAAATATTAAAAATGTTTAAAAGGATTTACATAATGATATGATATTGCCGAACCTAGTAGCGTGGGCTTAACTAAGTAGGGCATTAAAGTGATTGGTTGCCTCAATGAAGCCTAACTAGGTGAGATTATCGTGGTCTTGGTCTATTCACCTTGGGTGAAATTACACTAAGTGCGCCCTTAAGCCCTTAGGTTGGTAGGGTTCCCGATTCGCCATGGTTGGGTAGCTAATAAAAAATCAATTGTAAAACTAAGCACTACATCTTGATAGACTCGAGCATTAGACTAGCAGGTGGATTTGCTGGGTTGCTACGTCCACCAGTGGGCCTTCACCAACCCACCATACTGAGGATTACATATTGACTGACTGGTTCACCTTGGGTAAAATCAAACTAAGTGCGCCCTTAAGCCCTCGGGTTAGTAGGGTTCCCGATCCGCCATGGTTGGGTAGCTAATAAAAAATCAATCTTTAGATTGGGGTTATGGGTTCTAACCCAAGCCTCGCAAACCAAGATATGCGCCTACACTCACTACACATTCACTTTTGTAACCCACATCTAAGGGCACATCAAAGTGATGAGTTTCGTGCAATCTTTCTACGTCGTCCTAAGTTCATCCCCCTAGTGTAAAATGTCGTTTTTAATAAAAATTAAAATAAATCATGCCCGCCATGGTTGGGTAGCTAATAAAAAATCAATCTTTAGATTGGGGTTATGGGTTCTAACCCAAGCCTCGCAGACCAAGATATGCGCCTACACTCACTACACATTCACTTTTGTAACCCACATCTAAGGGCACATCAAAGTGATGAGTTTCGTGCAATCTTTCTACGTCGTCCTAAGTTCATCCCCCTAGTGTAAAATGTCGTTTTTAATAAAAATTAAAATAAATCATGCAATATTTTAGCCATCATATATACCATCTACCAATTGAAAATCAAATTACCAAATGGACGAACTAACAAATTATGAAACCATGAATATTATTAATAGGAAAACAATAAACAAGAATGCCGCAACAGCTACAAACTGAGGATTACATCTTGATTGATTTCTTCCTCAAACTACCTACATCAAAGTGATGAATATCCTGCAATATTTCAACGTTGTCCTGCGTTCATCCCCTTAGTATAATAAAATGTTGCTTGTAATAAAAGTTCAAAAAATCATGCAATATTTCAGCCAGTCATATACCATCTTCAAGTACAAACTCAGATTACCAAATAGACGAACTAGGACGAACTAACAAAGTATATATGAAACTACGGATATTATTAACATGAGAATAATAAATAAGAATGCCGAAACAGCTACTAACTTATGTATACATCTTGACTGTACTTGTTCCTTAAACTAAATTAATATAGTTATAGAGAACAGTGTTGAAGAGTTAAATCTATTCAGAACCGTTTTTATCCGTCCAAGTGGCTAGTTATTTTGTGATAAGTATGTTATTCTATTGATATTCCTTTTGTTTATTCGTTTTTTATCTGTCAATCTTTTATTCCTCTCTAACCAAACAGTAGGTCCAGGTCCAAACAATAAATCCCTTGATAAAGGCATGAGCGGTGAGGGTGAGAACCATTAGGTTTCCAATTCTAGGTAACCATGCGTAAACAGTAGTAAAAAGAATTAGTATGTCAAACTTCTATAAGAAAACCAGTAATCTTGCAAAGATGAGTCGACTGTTTAGATCAAACTCGTGCGTAAGTTATAATTCTAGGGCCAGTATCAGTGAAATTCCCGACATAGTAAAAGAAGAACAAATAGAGTATCAATCAAATAAAAATGTTGATTATAATAATTGGAATATACCCAAGGTTAAGGTACTGAAAATTACAATAAAAAATGGTCACTCTCTGCTTTTAAAACCACAGTTCATATTAAGACAGAAAAAATTGTCATAATTTCTTGCATACTGATTTAGTTCAAGTTGCCGTCAAGCCCTTCACAAAAAAATGGAAAGCTTTTCTGTCTTATAAGATTTTAGTTCTAAAACAAACAGCATCCAGGTGATGTAAAAAACTTGAGCAGCTGACGATCTAAAACAAACAGTAGCTGGACAAATATTTCTGTACACGTTGATGGGAAGCTTATGAGAGAATGGTGATTTTGGCTTCTCGAGCTAGGGAAGGGACATTTGGTAAGTTCATTGGCAATTCTCCCTTTCTTTTCGACGAGCTCTGGCTTTTTGGTGCATATCGCTGTGTCATTTTGATCATCATGGTTACTTAGTTATTTTGTTGGCTATATATGACTAACATCCACATTTAGTAAAAGTAACGTTGGTGCGCAGGTAAATTGGAATATTTCATGACGTTATGTGTTGAATGATAACATCCATATGGAGCGACATTTGTTGTAACAAAAATATCAAGAAAAGGAGGAAACATGGAGACTCAAGAACATTAACAAGTAAAGGTTCAAACATTGAAGACATGTTCTGAATTCTAAGTTCTAACCACAGGTGCTGCTGCTATTGAAAGCAAACTGCATGCTTTTTAATCAGGTCTGCTCTGTAATTGAACTTGTGCCATGCTTTGCCAGATATTCACCAGGAATTCATTTTTCTTTTTCCTATTGCAGAATATTAGTGAACAAGTTGCTTCTTATATGAGAGATCCAAGCAGAATGGTTAGGCAGATGCAGATGAGGAAATCAGCAGTTGCTGTATTTGTTACTGTAAGCTATTAACCTCTCACGTGCATTCTCATTTGTGCTTCATAAATTTAACATCACAACAAGATGGGTTTTTCTTAAGTTTTGTACATTTAGGAACTTAAACATGAGTTGTGGATGTGCAGGTTCCTGTGGGGTACAACACCACAAAGGGAGAGGTACTAATTGCATATAATTGTCGTTAACTATAATCCTGTACTAATCTGAGGACCCATCTGTAAATTCATTGGAATCGAATGTCCATGGAATTTACATTTTATCCATGTGCTATTTTAAGTTTTTAACTCCCAAATGAGGTACCAATTTGTTTGGGATGGATGCAGTTTATAATTAATTTGATACGATGTTTGAACAAATTTTGGTTGTTTGTGGTGTCTGGTACTTTGCTTCATTTTTCTTTTTGGATAGCCCCAATGTGACTTGATGAATTTGTTCCTTTTATTGCTATAAGAAAAGATCATACAACCTGTGTGTGAGGGTTGTGACGGTTTCAATACTCTTCATGCGTCATTAGCTTTAATTGTATTTTTATGTTTAAAATTTTGATTCGTTTGCCACTTCAATGTGCGCCCTGTTAGGTCTGCTTTAATTATCTCTTTGTTATAAAAGTTATATTTCTATTTGCACAAATTAAGTACTTTTATTCCTTCACTCTGATAGGTGACAATCTGATGCTGGTGCACAAGCTGATGATGACCCTGAACTTTTGGATGACTCTGAGTTTTACCAGCAATTACTGAAAGAATTTTTGGAGACAATTGACCCAGCAAGTTGTGGTAAAACTATTAGGGCATCTCATACTTCATGCATGAATGATTGCATTTGAATTTGATATGCAATATGGTTTACCCAATCTATAAGATTTCCTGTAGTTCAAAACACATGCAGTCAGATTGCATATAAGAAGTGTGGCTTTTGAAATTGTTAAGGATTGTATCCTCCCAAGTGATGTCCTGTATGCTCATTAATTTGCTGCTATGGATATGTAGAGTGGATGAACATGATTTTCAAACAATTTGGGCTCATCTAATCAACTTTAAGTAACAAAGTATGAGTCATGACGAAAGTTTCATTCAAATAATCTGTATCTTCGGCTATTGATGTCAATGACAATGTATTGTCTCAGCTTATATTGGGCTTGGAACCTAATCGATCCAGAACTTATATTGTTCAAGTTGTTGTGTTTTTGTAACCTTAAAAATGGAACAAGCTAGCAGTTATTCCTGCTAACAATCACGACCTAATTGATCCCGAACTTCTATTGTTTATTGATTCTAATTTGTACTATTTGATTATCTACAGAGAGCATTTTATTTTTTGAATAAGTTGCATGCTAAGAAGATGAAGGTTGTTTACAGAAGAGCCTCTATGAGTCGCAAGATAAAGTATCAATACATTCTTCGGTTCCCTATGTGAAACTGCTGTGATTTTGTTTTGGAATATCTTGGAGCATCTGTTGAGCAAGTAGGCCAGATTGCTGAAGGCTTATTGCATTATGCTTTTGCAGGTACTATGTTTATGAGAACATGGTAAATTTCATGGCTCCAGAAACCATGGCCGTTTCTCCTATGCTTCCTGACCTCAATAATTTGTTCAGGTTGAAGAAGCAGAAACCAGCTTCTGTAGTGTAGTAGCGATGCAAGGCTGAATCAGCTGTATAATCCTTAGATCTCAGGCTAAGAAATTGTATGCTGTTAATTTATTTGATATATTATTCAATCTAATATTTGTTGTACTGATAGTTATGTAATTTACACAATTTTTCAATGGGAGCCGTCTTTAAGAAGCATGATTTTGTTGTAAATGACAATTAATATCTGTAAATTTGACATTTATAAGCAAATAGGATGTTTTTGCTTTCCCCGGCGCCAAAATGTTTTCCCCTAATTCGAAGAATTGATTCTTGCCCGGTTTGCCCCCATTTGTGTAGAATCATTTTATTTTATTTTATTTTCCAGTTATTTACTGCTAGTATACATACAACAGTCTGTTTATTTTATCTGGTACGAGATTTTATGCAATCAGTGGCAGGGAAGAAAAATTCGTAAGTATCGATAATGTTGGATGTATTTTATGCTATATTTATGCAATATTTGATGATGTTGAACACATTTGAACTTCGATATTTTGAAGGCAGAAAACATTTCGAAAACGAGGGAATCCAAAGATATGTCTGTATCAAGTAAAATTGCAAACTCTTGGATGGCTTGTGGACTACCGTCGCTTCTTTTTCTGAGAGACGGAGGACCGAACTACAAAAGCAAGCGTGAAAAATAAGCCAGCAGCAGTGAGGAGCACCTTCCAGCCTCCGAGGCTGCAATTGTTGTTGGCAGCCCTCATCCTTGCAATTGTGTAATCAGGTTCATCCTCTTGCCCTTCTTCTTTGCCTGAAAAACATACAAATAACATAAAATTTATGTTTTTGAATTGAATACAAATGGACTTGGAAGTGTTTGGATGGAGTATAATTCATTGCAATACAACATAGCATACCTGTGTCTTCTTCATCAGTGTCCATGATGAGGCGATTAAACATTCTCTGTATACCAAAATCATTTTTTTCCATTTGTTCTTTAAAGAAACCAAGGAAGTATATTCCTGGTTTATGCTCGTACATGGACAAATCTCCACCGATGACAAATGGATAATGAGGATCTGATTTGGTGTTGTGTTGGTTATTTATCATCATATTATGCTGGTGCTCTTGCACAAGCTCGACACCAAACTCCTTTACCCGAAACCACTCAGGATATCCGGCCATTACCAAAACAACCACTTGATCTCCACATTGTAATATTGTTTCACTCTCCATCCTCCAATGGCTCAACCATATCATATCTTCACCCTCTCCTGGAATTCCATAGAATAGTGGGGAATAGATCCACCTCAGACCCTTGCTCTTGTTACTCACTTTAGCCATTATTGGACAACGAATCATACAATAATCGTGATTATTAGAATTCTCCTCATTTGCATAGGTAGCAAAAATGTTCAAGCCTCGGATTCTGTGAGTGGCAGGGAGTAAAGGGACCATAAAAGATATAGAAGACTTGGTGCTTTTATAGCTAAACCAGCCTGGAACCTCATTCCCAACAAAAAATGTGCTAAATATACCAAATTGATACAGTCCCTGTGCATTTTCCATGATCATCACAACATTACTAAGTCATTTATTTCCCATTATAAATATATATGATTTATGAGAGAGAGAGAGAGAGAGGCACACCTGAACAGGACTCCATCTAGCCCTATTTGGATGGGAAGTTGCGTATGGTTGGCGCATTCTAATGGATGGCATGGATCCTAGGTTGAACAAGCTCAAAAGTTTGATCATTTCCGCATCAACTCTATCAATAGGCTCTAACTTGTACCAGTACTCCCACTCAACTAGATTGCAGTTGTCCGACATAAAGACATGTTCTTCGAACTCAGATTGATATGTTATTTTTTTTAATGATATACATCCAACTAAATTCATTACTACTCCATCCATCGCTTCGTGTAATTTCGGCAACCCCAGAAGCGAATCGAGCTTCTTACAATTGCGGAAAGACAGATGATTGAGCCTTCTCAAACCTTTGATGAAAACTGGCAATGTACAAATTGGATTCTCATCTAAATATAGTCTTTGTATTGAGGACAGATTACTTAAATCCCCACGAAAGGCATCATCAGAAAGATTGCACCCACTGAGATTCAACTTTACCAAAGAGCATGGAAAATAACTCAAGATACTTGAACATGTTTCTGGCCATAACCCACTCATTGGAATTCCACCTGTTTCAAGCACTTTCAGAGACTCCATCCTCTGCATCATCTCCAATGGAAACTCATCAAGATTTGAGCAACCAGATAAAATGAGTGTTTCAAGTGACTTAAGCATGCACATGCTCTTCGGAAGCATCCTAAGATTCTTGCAATCCTTTGTATTCAAGTACACGAGTCTCTCCAGGTTTCCAATGGATTCATGAACAACAATCAAACTTGTGCAGCCTACAAGGATCAATTCCTCTAGACGGGGGCAAAGTGAGAAGTCCATGATTTCAGTGAGGCCATGAGAATGGCTGACGTCAAGGATCTTCAATGATGGAAGAAACTGTGGAAACAAATAAAAACAAGCAAAGAAAAAAAAAATGTGTCAAAGAATTAAAACCGAAAGAAAGAAGGAAAAAAAATTGAAAAGTGTAGAGTAACATACTTTTGCTTCTTTGAAAACTTGTCTCAAGCTGCTATATTGCATTTCAAGAGATACCAATTTCTCCAAAGAAAAATCAACAGGAATTGAATCCAAAGGAAATTCGGGCCAGCACAACCATCTTAACCCTATAGGAAGTTCTTCATAACATCCATCCAGTTGTACATGTCTAAGACAGAGCAGTTTCAGTTTGTGCATCCTTGCAAATGAATTGGTTTCCAAGACATTCTCGTTTGAGTTTATGGGATTGCTTGTAAGCAGTTCATGCATGTCCAGCATAAGACCTTCAGTTGCTTGCGTACCCTATAAAAGAAATCAGAAAAACAATTGGTTAATTAGCACAAGAGAAAAAGAAACACACACACACACACACATACAATGAACATTTCTTACATTCTTTTCTCTCAATACTTCGAAGGAATCCTTAGAGCGCCACAATCTACTACGATTCCTAGGCTCATATGATTCTCGACGAACAATTTCTCGTCCCATGTCACGAATCACGTCATGCATATACAACTTGTCCTTAACAATTGTCACCAAGCACCTATCTCTGAGATTTTGAATGCCACAGATTGTCTTGAAATCACATCCATCTAATATTGTGACAATGCGATCTTCATCCTGTCCAATAAAGAAACAAGCAACATGGAGGAATAAATTCTGGTCATGGTCATCTTGTAAAGAGTCGTAGCTTATTCTCAATTTATTCATGAGTTCACCATTTGGAATAACTTCTAACTTCTCCAATGTACTTTTCCATACACGCTTAGGTTCCCCGAAAAGAGAAGAACCCAAAACTTTGAGAGCTAATGGAAGTCTTCCGCTGTGTTGTGCGACTTCTTCAGAATATTTCTCATAACCTTCAAGGGGATGATCCTGGCCAAAAGCATGCCAGCTTAAGAGCTCCAACGATTCATCGAAACCCAAAGGTCCAACTTCATGCACCGTAATACCTTCATGTGCCTTTAGCAACCTTTGACGCCTAGTTG